TAAAAAACATTGACGACAAAGATGTGGTTGCTGAAATCTCTGGGTCTTGGCGTGGAATAGTTCATGCTACAATACTAGAAACTAAAGTACTCATTAATAATCCAATCTTTTGAATTCTAAAAAAAAATTGTTATTAAATACTAATTGATTATTATTACTATTCTATTATTATTTTATAGAAAACGAAATTGATCGTAGATTTAAGTGAGCTGGCTCCAATTCCTAAAATTGTAAAACCAATCGCCAAACAAGGTCCACTCGAATCACGAAAAATATGGCAACCTGTATCAGCTGCGCTTTTTCAGAAAGATTACTCAAAAGCTACAAAGGAAAAGATTGCAATTGAAGATCGTCAAAGACGATTGGCAGCTGAAGCAAAGGCAAGAAAAGAAGAATTTGAACCTGTATATTTCAAATTACCTGTTGTTGACGGGCGACCAGAATTGAAAGATACAGCACATCAAGTTATACAAAACATAGAACCTTAAACTATCATTATTAGATTTTGTTAAATATTTGTGATGTGAATTATTTTATTATTACTATTTTTTTTAGAAAAAAATAAAAAAAAGAGAAAGGGCAAAAAATAAATAAAATTTTTTATAACTTTAACGTCATTAATTATTTATAGAAATTGACTATTTATTTGAGCATTATCATCTCAATAAGAATTTTTACAACTTTATAATCATCAATTATTTGAATCATTTGAGAATTTAGGTATTTTAATATTTGAAGGGTGGTTTCAATAGATAGTTTTAATTCCAATAATAAAAATTATTCGGTATATTATTAATATAACGATCAATTAATGTGATATATGTATTTCATATACATCCTATCGGAAATTAGATTTTTTTTTTTTTTTTTATCTTTTTAATCTGCTTAATTTTTATTTCTAACTTAATATACTAATTTTTTATCACTTACTTTTTTTATTCATTCTACACCCTGTTCTAAAATGAATGGTGTGCATATTCATATTGTTATATATTCATAATAAATATATTTTTTATGGATTAAATATTCGAAAAATAGAATAAAATATAAGTATAAGTGAATTAGTTTTAATTTATATTAACGTGTCGACTTGGCATGCATATGCATGTCAACCTGAAACGTTAACGTGTCAATGTTAAAATGCTAAACGTACAGATGCTTGAGAAAATAAAGGCATAAAGCTTTTTTTTTGATTTACAGAAAATCCGATATTCTTTATTATTCATTACAAAAAGTCCGATAAGTTGGATTTGTATGAAACATATATCATACTACATATGAATAAACCCTATTAAACTTGAAAGTTTAGATTTTTGCGATGCAAATTTTACTCCTGAATTAACGTGTACATATTACATGTGTCACAGTTGCATTGGTTAATAAAATTTTAATATATTTTTAATAATTATAGTATTTATATAATTATTGTGAGGGCCAAATATAAGGCCGCCCAAGATGTGGCGGCCAAGTGAAAACACATGATTTTTCTA